GGACCTTCGGGTTTCTCTGTCGTCGTCGTTTGCAACGAAATCGACTTGTGTTGCTTCTTCGGCGACTACATCTCCGTCCAAGAAATTTGATTGGTGGGTACTGGGTTGAAATTCAGCTGGTAACACGTGGACCATACTGATCTCCATTTGTTCGAGAACCGAATGACCCATTGGATCGTGGTCATCGTCTTCTGCCGAACTAGCCACAGTATCGGCCGGCGGAACATCCTCGATCAAGCTTTTGAGTGCCTCGGTAAGAGCCGGTATCCGAGACGTGGGAACCAAGTCGAGTGTTGTGTGGCTATTTTCCTCGACCATGTTGACTGTCGAAGGTTTATGTTGGTCCTTTGTTAGACGGGCTCGTTCTTCATAGGCCATGCGGGCGTTCCTTGTGTCGAGATATGTATCCAACCGTGCTATCCGTTTTTCTTCGTCGGCCGTGAGGCCGAAGAGCGATACCGCCGAGAAAACTTCGAAATGATAGCGCAAATGCTGAAGGTTATCGAGCGAGAAAGGTAATTCAGCGGTGTCGATATCTGTATAAGGGTCAACGTCAAAACCAAGTACCCGAGCTTCCCGTATATGTTGGAACCTTGCCTTAATGGCTGGGTCGGAGGTTTTCTGAATGATTTGCTCGGCATCGGGGCAAGTGAGAGCTAGGTCGAGGGCTTCCTGGCACGCCTTGGGTAGTCCGTACAAGTCATTGGCGGGGTATTTCTTATGAAACTCGCATGTATTCCAAGGATTCCCCAAGGAATGGGGGATGTAAGTTGCGCCGTACTTTGATAAACGGTTCGCGCGGTGGTAACGGGGAAAGTTTCCTTTCGGTCTCTTGTGTGAAGTGTTCTAAACGAGCTCTCGTTTCCCCAGGCCGGAGAAGGATTTTGATTCGTTTCTCAGCATCCTCAATGGTGGTTTCGAAACCGGCAACTGCTACTTGCTTCCCTTCGGCCAATTCGGTCATGATAGTCGGGGTTGGCCGTTCACTTATGCTTTCCGCGGCCTTCTTTGGTTGCCACTGGTTGGCAGTGCTGGCCTGCGCTTCTCGTCGTCGAGCCATGCAATCAATCCGTTGACGGCGACGTTTTTGGGACTTAGACAGCGCTGTATATAAGCCAGTCGGAGAGTTGTAACTGTACCAGCGTTGATCCGATGTCCTGGGTGGTTTGAAGGTTTTGCGATCGGCTGATGAGCTGGAACTGGTATTGTGCGAGTAGTAATCCTCATTATAGAAAGGCGCGTCGAAGTCAAGACGCCGCCTGACCGAGGCCTGGTCTTTCGTCCGTACCTGTGGGCCGAGTCGATCGAACACTTGACGTCGCGGACCAAGTTCCTTTGGTGATGTGGCAAGGGCCGTGGGTGGTGTGGAAAATGTCATCTCCCCAGGTTCAACCGGTGTTTTACAATGGTCACATAAAACCTTTGATCCATGAGTTTTGTCGGAACTCGACCTTGTCATAGGCTCATCGGCGAGCGTTCCCGATTGTTCCGTGGGTGGTGCATTCGAAAATATATCAAGCTTTAGCCTTGTTCGACCATTCTCTTTACGGATATGCTGCACCGGGACGTATTCGGCCTTCCCTTTGTTTTTAGGAAGATGAGCATCCACCATACCAATTGTTGTTGAAGGGACGGGATTGACGTCGACCGCCATCTGCTTTTCCGGAAATTTCAACTTTCCTTTCTCGATCCAACTTTGGATTGTATCCCGGAATACGACACAATTATTGGTTGCATGCTTATTAGAATTATGATACTTGCAGTATATTTTTCCCTTCAATTCATCGGCCTTAGGGATAATATGCCCTGGCCGAAGCTTGATGATCTTTGCCGCCAATAATTGATCGAAAATTGCATCGGCCTTGGTGATGTCGAAAGTGTAGACTTTCGATGACTTACTCATCTCCTCGGTGGTCGAATGGGCTTTGGTGTCTTTGCTATTTACTTGGGCCAGAGCCTTGCAGACGTAAGGTTTGTCTATTACTATCTCGGCCGCATCCACACTAACATACTGAGGGTCCCCATTTTCGGCCGATGCATAGCTGACCGTGGGGTTCTTATACAACGTTCCCTGGGATGGTGACTTTGAGATCTTTTCTTCTCGGAGCAGGTAATCATACTGTTCGACATGTTGAGCAAGTTCGTACATATCGCGGATGTTTGCCCCCAGGAACTTCTTTTTGTACTCCACGTCTAATCCGTTGAGAGCGATCCTGACGAATTCCACCTCGGGGAGCGGTACTCGGCACCAATTCCTGGCTGACTTAAACCTTGTTAAGTACTCCATTGGAGATTCGTCGGATGCTTGAGCCATCCTGGCCAAGGATGATACGGACATCTCCATCCCTGGCCGATAGAATTGTTCATGGAACTTTTCGACTAACTCTTCCCAACTTTGCACAGAATTGGGTGGAAGATTAATGTACCAGGCGAAAGCGGAGCCTGTCAATGAAAAATTAAACAACCGTAGTTTGTAGAAGTCGCTATTGACGTCTCCACACTGAGCTGTGAACCGAGCCACATGTTCTAACGAGGACAAAGACGATTCCCCGGCGAAGAGGCTGAAATCAGGGATCTTAAATCCTCGTGGGTATTCAAACCTTTCAACATAAGCCGGGTATGGATGAATGAATTTTGGAAACTTCGGTGAATGAATTTTGGAAACTTCGGCCCTTTCTTCAGGGCCGAATCAATCATTCTTTGGACTTCCGTCATGTTTACGGAAGCGGCTTCTTCTCCCTGGCTTGGTCCCTCGGATCTATTTCCTGGTCCTCTTCTTTCTACGGTGACTGGTTGCGGTCGAGCGGACCCTCTCTCGGCCGGTATGGGAACATTCGTCGAGAGCTGCCGAGGTTGGCCGACCTGGCCATCTTCGAAGGCTTTACTAACCAATAACTCGAGCATTCTGGTCTGTGTATCATTGTTACTCCGTATTGCTTCTAGCAAATCATTCATCCTTTGACCAATCGAGTTCTCGACCTGACGATACTGTTCATCAAGTCGTCTCCGAAAAAATGATCTAGTTGGTGGATCAGAGCCTTCTCCACCATCGTCGTCGCAATCTTCCACTATCCCTTCCACGAACATACCTGTCGTTTGATTTGGGATCGCCGCGTTGTGTGGTTGCCCGCCGAGACAGATTTCGTTTTCTCGGCGTGTCACACTTGTAGCCTCGGCCGGCGCGGCAATTATCGGATTTTTTGCTGGGTGCGAATCCTGCCCAAGGCCTTGCACTGGTAAGTCAGCTGTTGACTTCCCCATGGTTGTTTTCTTCTTGGTAGACCGTGTCTCAACGGTCATGAACTCCGAAGGTTTAGCACAATCGTCCCATTGGGCGTGCCAAAATGTTGACTACAAAAATTACAAAACCTACGTGGCGCGCAGGCCGAGTAACTAATGAACTAACTACGTCCTTCGGTTGAATGCGGGGCGTGCCAACTCGTCGGCCGAGCTCGGCCGAGGAGTAAAATGTGATGTCGCGTTGGGTGCGCTATCGACTTCTGTATCTTGCGATTGCGACCGAGGAAGGAACGCTCTCGGTCTCTGGGTTCTATAGCCTGAAGACAAGGCTACTAATTCTACGGAGTTCACAGGTCGTCGGACCCTGATTCGGTCACTGTGATTATATTCGTAAGAGTATAAGCACGCCGAATCAAGACCAAACTATATGGGCACAGGTACTCGAATGTGATGTATGTCTTGATGGTAAACGTAGTTCGGCCGTCGGAATGCCGAACCCTGAAACTTACTTGCGAGTATCCAATCATAAACTCACTCGGCGTCCAATACGCCGAGCAATGCAACTCGTAACACCCAACTACGCCGAAAAGGCTTAGTTAGATGACCTCTACCAACAAAGGTTCGAAAACCCTTCTCGGCCGAGACTTAGATAGATAATCGGTCGACCTCGACGCAGTGCTGTTTATCCAAACTGAAGGTGTTTCTCGGTCGGCTGATTCTGCGGCAGCAGTGCTGTTTATCCAAACTGAAGGTGCTCACCGGTTGCTTCCACAGTGCTGTTTATCCAAACTGAAGATGTGTCGGCAGGAAACGAAAAGGAAAAATCTCAAGGTGTTTGAGAGGTTTTGCGCAGGGCAATTGTATGCTGATTGTGAAGTCCTTTTCTATTGCGTAATTTCTTGTATTTATAGCACCTCGCTCCTTGAATCCCATTCTGATTTGGATTGGGAGTCCTTGTCTCATCTCACCTTTAACTCGAACAATCCTAGTCCTACTGGGATTCTGAATTCTCCTCCTTTTGAAGCTTTATCCCTTGCCGGTCGAGAATCCTGGTCGCACCAGGATTTCCTCGACCTTTCCTCATTCATCTGGACTACTTAAGATAGGATCTGGCCGACCCTGCCAACTGGTCCGGGTTTCATTATTTGGCCCATAGCATGTGTCATTACCTTGGGCCGAGCACATCTTGCTGCTCGGCCCAATCATAATATTTTGGGCCCAAACACATAAAAAACGGTATCCAACTGAGAGCCAAAGGGCTATAGGGCCAAACATAATTTATTATTTAAATTTAAAAACTACAACAACTTAAATTCAAATCCAACAACTTAAATTTAAAAACTACAATGATAACTGTCCCAAAAAACCAAAAAAATTAGAATTTAAATTTAATGAATGGTTTAGGTATTTATAAGAAGAAAAAAAATTAGAATTTTTAAGAATTAAAAAAAAAAGGTCCAAAAAACCAAAAAAAAAAAAAAAGAGGTATTCAAAATTTTTTTTTTAAGCAATCCTGTCGGTTATAACCGACAAAAATACATTTAATTTTTAATATAAATATATTCCTGTCGGTTATAACCGACAAGAAAGCTATATTTTTTGGCCAACCCCAGGCTCAACCAGCCCTCCAGCCCTCTAGGCCTCTCCGAATCCGTGGGGCCCTCTTAGATTCCACAGCCATCTGGCTTAGCCATCGGTTGGAGACGGTTTTCAAACTATTTTCGACCCTCTGACCCTCTAGACCCTTCGGTTGGAGATGCCTTACTTTCCCATTCTTGAAGCCTCTCAAGAATCTGCGCTTCGTTACGGGCACAGGTATGCACGGTTGCTCCAAGTCCTGCCAGCTCTTCCACAATGGCATATCTGAAAAAAAATTGCATCTGAAAAATTAGAATAATATACCCATGAAATAAACTGATCTGAATTATCAGATGCAGAAACAAATAAGAGAAGAAATAGCTAATTTTAATTACCCTATGCCTTTGGTTCCGCCGGTGACGAGAGCAGTCGTTCCCTTTAGAGACCATCTTTGACTGTCGAAACCTGCCACGTATTTTTGCTTGATCTGTAACTAAAGATGTTGTTCACTTGTTCACTTGAAGTGGTAATTGGTTAACAGGTAATATGAAAGCTACGTATAACTGTAGGTTGAAGAAGATTTAATGAAATAGCTAAATGTGGATGTGGTGATGATATTCTGTGAAGGCTAGCTGTGGATATACATAGCGTCGTTGCTGGAAACCAAAATATTAAACTAATAAGATGAAAGGTGAAAACAGTAGTAGTCGCCATCCATTGGCTGAGTCAAACTTTTTGTTATTAGGGATTGTCAAATTTAATGCAAAGTAATTGGAACACGGAAGCATCTATCGAACGTCAGCTATTTGTCCTTGACTTTGATATATTCAACACGTAGGGAGGACGTTGATTACAATCTAATAAGATTGTCTTATTATTACAAAGTGTGGGCGAGCCGTTGAACCGTAATAGCTGTTTTTACCAAAAGGTCATATTTCTTAATTAGATTCTGTAATAAAGTACTATAGTTTTTTTTTTTTTTTTGATTAACAGAAAAATTGAAATATGATAAATTGGCTTTGTGAAGCTGACCCCTCGTGTGAACCGGAATGTACGTACGCAACTTAAGTACAGTGGCGAAACTAGAAATTGTTTGGCAAAAATAGGTACTATTGACCAAGAACATCATAAAACGATTCTTAGTTGGGACGGTGATCTAGCGTTTAATGCTTAGGCGAGACTAAACGGCGCTAGACGCTGACTTTAAAACAGTGGCCAAACCACCCAACTCAATATTTTTGTTCATGAAATTTTATATAATACCTATTTCAATTGCATATACAAATCAAAATATAAGAACAAATAATAGAATTAAAAATAATTAAACTCTTATTTTATAGTTTAACCTAATTCAACATTAGTTGCATCTTTCCAATTCAAATTTGTTTGGGGCTTAATGAAAAGCATTAGCCCATATCTACAACTCCACAAGGTCTGACCAGCCCAATATAACAAACCCAAAATCTCAGACGATATATCTGGCAAAAAGCAACGCCTCAAAAGTAATCGGCGAACCGGCCACCGCATCACTAAACCACCCTTCAATTTTGCCCACGTCATTCCACTGTAGCGCCCAAAACATCCTCAAATTCCCAAAAGAGTAATGTTAAGAAAATTAAATTTGTAAATTAAATTTGGTAAATTTTGAAGTTCGTCGGAAAATTGGGTGACGCGTGGCAGTGGTCCGACTTTGTCTTTTTAAGCTTATTTTGTTATTTTGAATCCATGTTTGATATGCTTGTGGTGCGATTCAAATGTTTATACTTAGTCTCGGAAATGTTAGTCATTCGATTGATTTAGAAAATGGAGGACGAACTACGAATGGATTGATCCCTTTCGAGGGTACATAGGCAATCTAACTAGGATGTTAGATGCAGCCATAAATAAAACAAAATGACTTTTTTTTTTTGGTTAATTAGAATTATAATTAACCATTAATTTTATTTTGGCCTACCTTTGTGTTTGGCTTCTAGAAGAAAATTTAGGTCGTTACATTGTATCTTCGGGATTTTTTTGATTGTGCAAAGCTAGTATCATGATGTAAATGATACTTGCCAATGGCCGCAATGGAAGATCGGCAGACGCGTGACCAATGTTCTCTTGATCCACAACAATAACACATATCCAATTCAGTGGAATATGATTGAACGGTAGTTTTTTCCTTGTTTTTGAAGTTAGAAACCGTAAGGGTGAGAAAATCGGGTCTAACTTCGGGTAGTTTCTTTCGAATACTTCAAACGTGGTAAAGTTGAGTTTATTCAAGTTCGATGTGTCCCTGCAAATGAAGGGACCAAGAACTTGGTTAGTCTTATGGAAAATCAAATATCCATAGACATATAGTTTGAACATTCGGGTTCTATAGACATGTATTGGTTTAATTTAACATGAAAACTTTAGGTTTAATAGTGTATGTTTTAAATTGAAAACTTCAAGTTTCAAACGTGCTAAATTCGAAACTATAGGTCCGAGTTTAGTATGAACTTCTGGTTTATAAAAAAGGGTACTTGCAAGAACACAAAATATAATATACAACTAAAGTCTAGTGAATTTGGGATTTGCTTTAGGAACCCAAGTGTGAGTAGTTTCAGAACTACAAAAGGATATCAAGGTTCAAGAAAAAAAAAAATATTAAATCATTAATGCCAAAAAGTGGACTTCAGGTCAACAATTTTGGATTTTTGTCGAATTAATGGGTTGCTGGTCATTTAAATTAATTAAATAGATTGAGATCCTTCGAGGTCGATCGTGGAAGAAAAATAAGGACGTTTAAGTCATAGTGGCTTTGTTTACAATTACGAAAATAAAGCCTAATAGGGCTTTAGCTGGGGAACATCCCAAAATATTTGGGTGTGGCTAAGAAGCAATAAGTGCCAGAATGTGACATTGGGTTAAAAAAGGTCGCAGCCTAACATGGAATTGCTAGCTGATGTGATACACGGCCCTGCAACTATAGGCTTAGGTGGGTTTAGGGCAGGTTGTTGTAGGCAGCCCAGCACACCTATGCAAGCTGCAGGCTTACGGGCCAAAGGGAAAGATCAACCCAGTATGCAGCAGGCTTGCTAGAAGGTGGGCTAAGGTGCGGGAGAGAAACCCAACAAGGGACGCTGGCTTCTAGAGGCGGGCCGATGGCAAGAATCCCAACATCCAGGGACCGAGACATCAACCCTGGTCCAGTTTTTTAGTAGCAAGCCCAAAAGGTTGCTGATGAAGGCCAGACGTCAAACCGCCATTGTCCTGGCTGCAAACCCGAGCTGTAGGCTCGGTGCAACATGGCTCGGCTTCAGGGGTTTGGCTCCAGGCCTAGGCTCAGCCCAAATTTTCCAATTTTATTTATTTATTTTTCGATTCCAAGGTTTTCAAAAAAAATTCATGCTTTTATTTTCTTTCAGTTTCATTGACTCACAAATTCCAAGTAGCAATTATAAACTGTGTATGAATGAACATATATATAGACAAATATATGCATTATACTATATATATATATGGAAAAATATAAACTGGGTGTACATGCACATGTGGAATGTTTTCATTCATCAAGGTCATTGAGATATCAAGTTGGATTTTAGGAGAACCTAATTGGTTGAAAACGAAATTGAGTCCTTGAATTTGTAGAAGAACTTCCTTCATGAATCTTCAGTTCCTTAGCATCAATGTCCTTAGCACCAGGCTAGAGTGTGCTATTCTAGACCTATTGAACTGAAGAATTATAGAGTGAGAAAGAGGGGTGTGGCATGCAAGAAGGAGATAGAGTTTGATGTAATTGTGAGGCGGATTTGATGTCAAATTATTGCGCCCTTATTTATAGAAATAGTGAAGGTAAATTCCTTACCCAATAAAGATTACAACTTAAACAGGATACTATCTAAAGATAAGATATGGTAGAATCATATTCTTAACTTAATTAGGACTGCAAAAATAAAAAATAAAAAATAAAAAATCGATGTAATAATAATCATTCTTAAATGATAATTTTTTTTTTTTTGGGTCTGATGAGTATTTATTTATAGAAATTTTGCTCTATATATAAAGCATCTTTCTGTTTAAAAGGAAGCAAGAGATGATGACAGGATGTTGCGGATGGGGAGGATTACCCACATTTTAGAGTTCATTATTAATTAGCACCAAGAGAATAAAAGGGAAAAAACTTTGGTATTTTGTGGAATGTCTTCTTATGCAATCTATTGGCAATTTTTGTTGAAAAAAAATACTATCTATTAAAGATGCGTGTATTTTAAGTTAGTCTATAAAAGTACCCTATTACACCTAAACTTGTCTTTATTTTCTTTTAAAATAATAAGTTCCAAAGATAATGACCTTACCGACCGTGCTTCTTAATTATTAATTAGGAATCGGTTAGAAAAATACTTCCCATTTTTATATATTTTAGGAAGCAAACATAGAGGTAAGTACACTCTTTCCTTTATATTGCTTTTGAGAAACATGCAAGAGGCGTATGTGAAATGCTTTTGAAGAATTTCCCAGCAATGGGGACCGTAAAAATGAATTCTTCCAAGATTAAAATAAATGTCTTGAAGTAATACGATATTCTATTCGTTAAAGATGGAAAGAATAAATATATACAAGAAAATAGGGTGCCCAAGAACAATAATATTACCTAAAACTGAATATGTGTGGTTGAGTACTGTAAATTATCTCTTGCATCGTTAAGGACGTCCAATAATGTATGAATAACTATCAATTGTTAATAATAATAGATCCTAAAATGAATCTCTTACATGTATCAATAAGAACATGTGTGCGTAAGCAAAACTCTGTCCTCTATTATTTTGCAGTCGCTCAGTGTCATGTCTCACCCAACACCTTCAAATAATTTCTTGACCTTCACCACCATCACCTTCATTTGTCTTTGAAAAAATGACACCTTCAGCTCTTCTCTCTTTGCTACATTGTTTTATATGGAGAACCAGGAGGGCTCACTTAATGTATGTATTATTAATTAATCATACATAAACAAGTTGAGACTGAGGACATTAATTCCGTAGAATCTCTCGGGATAGGACAATCTCACTAACGTATTCCAACATAAAAGAAGAGTCTTAGCCCTTCTAAATTTATTTATTGTTATGATGAGAAAAGTAAATCTCCTTTCTGTTTCCGTTAACATTTTGAAATTAATGGATTAATTCTTGTTTTGAAAATGAAGGCCCCATCTTAATTAGCAAGATATATTCAAGGATTTTTAGCAGGCAATTGCATGTGACTTGTTCCATTTTAAAACCAGTCTCAATAGCACCACCCGGCCTTGTAGATGAATATTATAGTAAGTACCTATATATATGTAAGAATCAATTCTACTAACCATATTAACCTGATTACTATGCATGCATGTCAAGCTAGCTGCAGTACATCGCCTCGCTGGATTGAACTCTACTTGTTACTTTAATATAATTAATGACTAACCAGAATCTCAATACAATTGATTAATTCTTATCATGTGTTATTCATGATTTAATTAAAGACGTGTATTTCACCTTGTTTATAATACTAAATTATATATTTGGTTTAGTTCAGAGCATACTCCTGAGATGATGCTGAAGCTTTCGCAGTTTTTTTTTCTTCAAAACGGCAGCAATTCATAGATAAAGCACAACGAAACATGAGAACAAAACATGTAAGATTTTGCAGTTAGAGAAGGTAAATTAGCTTGCAGTGGTGCTGATTTCGGTAAGCTTGAGGTGGAAATGTACTGATTCCAAAATTCTTATCGACATCCTCTCAACCATTTGAAAGCAGTTCACTTTCATGTACCGCAGCCGCAGTTATGCAATCGAGCTACACATTTGGCTGTATCTTTTGTCAGTACAGATCGTATGTGTGATTTGCAATGAGCTTCGATATGCCAATTTGGTTATTTAACACCTTGGTATCTGATATAAACATTTCTATTCATATTTACACGTAGGGCCAAATACCCAAGTCAGTCAAATGAACCTCTGGTCAAACCTTTAAGCCAAAACTTCAAAACTTGACCCACGAAATACCATAGCATCAGTCATTTCCGGTAATCTAAAATCGTTATTATATAGTTAATGACTCTATTGACATGGAAGTCTTGCAAGTTAATCTAAACACTTTCAGTTCGATATAGAAACAATAAGAAACATCTTCAAGTCGACAAATTAAGGTTAAGTAAAGCTTAAATTTGCCCTTGGTGAAATGGCAAATATTTTTTTGTTGCCGTTGGAAAAAGTAGAAGCCCTGCTCCAACTAAGATAGGAACTGGAGGAAAAAAAATTTAAGCTCAGCATAGTCTACTACTAACATCGTCAATATTGTCCTTAACTACTTATTATTAGCTAGTTATATAGTTTTATCACATAAAAACTACATATTATTCTATTATATTTCTGAAAATTTATTACCCTTCAACACATATATCCAGTAGAATAATCTTGCAACCACATCCTTCTGTATGTACTCCATGATTAGTTTTCATTAAAAAAGTAAACTCTGTTCAAATTGTGATCTTACTCTTTTGATAATGTACATATAATAACTACATTGAAAAAAGGCATGAAACTTAATTACAGTGGAACAGAGAAGAAGAAGAAGAGATGATGAACGTTTAGAAGGAAATGAAATCTTGTATTGGTATCTTTTAAGTTGAACAGATTACAGAAGAATGAGAGAGAGTTTACAAAATAACTAACTCTATAACCTTCCAAAAAACTCTTCTAATAGCTTTCATCAGCTATACCAATCTCCAACATTCAATAATAAACCAATCTCCACCATAAATATGTTAGTTACTTAGGAGATATCTATTTTTTGGGTCAATTTGTTTGAATATATACATAGGTACATAATTATAAGTACAATCATATGTGTAAACCTATTAATATACATATGAGGATATCACTAGATCGTAATACAAGTGAAAAAGAATATTACTAGATCATAATAAACTTGATTAGAAGGACATAAGAATCTAAATTGGCAAGTCCTACAATTGTTCTGTTGTAGGTTTTGTTATATATGGGGTTTTCCGTTCACCATATAAATAATAAATAGAAGTCCAATCTATCTCCCATTGTGAAAACAAAAGGCAAAAATCTTATCAAAGAATGTAATCTAATGTTGTATAAATTATGTTTGACAACCAGTGGTTTAAAATTGATATAAAGGAATGAAAGGAAAGATCAAAATATAAACCTGGAGCAATCTGCTGCATGGTCACCATTGCTTTTCCTCTTTTTCTTTCTTTAATTATGGGGGTGTTTTCTTCTCTTTCCAATATTGTATGTGTCTTGGCCCTTCGGTCATGTGTTGTAAATGTGGTTTTTAGGTACTTTGCTAGAAGTTCAACAACGGACGGCTTCCTGTCAACCCAGAAGACTCAATATTCGGTACATGTGTATATCTTTGGAATATAAGAGAAACAAAAGAATTAATACAAAATTGTCAAGGCAGCCTGGCTACCTCTCTGCTAAATAGTTTTTTAGCCTCTTAATCAAAATTTACTGTTCAGTGAGAATTATACTTGTAGTTGTTTATGAGCTTTGTTGACCGATATGATATGTTAATTAGTTGGAAAAATTAATTCATTTAATACAATTCCATCTCTATAACGGCCCTAATTGACGGCTTAATTGTAGAACGTACTATCTTATTGTGTGACGGTCGCACTCCAAAAAAATTCGTTCTCTAATGAAATAATAATGATTATGCATGAAATCATGCGTTTTGCTTGATTGTTGAGGTTAAATTAATTTAAATACAAATTAAGGAGGAGGAATTGAAACATCTTGGCACTCTTTCATTTGAGGAGATTTCAGTCAGATTGTTTCAGTTTGTCACTAAGCACCCTCAACTTACAAGAGGGACTCATCAGATCAGGACCTCGCAACAGTGATTTAATATATATTAAACCATAATTGCTTCCCCCTCCAAAGATAAAAACAGAGAAAAAAAAATATAATACTTCTCGTTTCAGTGAATACTGACTGAAAGCCAACCAGAAATACTAAACAAAAAGAAAAAGTATAGCTACCATTTTATCAGGCAAGGCATAGAGTACTCGCCTCTTTGATTACCTGCCAATCAAACAGACACCACCCTAAGCAACCTCTCAGTCCTCCATGGCTCAGATCAGTCCATGTACTTTTCAGTCTCCATCTTAAACATATACACTTAAATATTATAGCACTACTTCTTTCATAACCCATCTACTTCCAAATCTTTCCTCTTTTTTTTTTTTTTTGGAATTTTGATTTTTCTTTCAATTGAGCCTTACTGCAGAGAGCAGTGCAACAATGGAACAACCACGGTACTGGATGTGGGCGAAGCGCAAACACAACGGCTTGAGTTCATCTAATCACGATCATCATCTTCAAGTGCCAATTTCAAACGATGATTCATGGGAAGAACAAGCTTTCGCCGAAGATGCGGCAGGACCTCTCGGAGGCTGCATATGGCCTCCGAGATCTTATTCTTGCAGTTTCTGTAGGAGAGAATTCCGTTCAGCTCAAGCTCTTGGCGGCCACATGAATGTTCACAGGAGAGACAGGGCTAGACTAAAGCAGTCTCCAAATGACGAAACTGCCCGTCACAACCACCTTCATCATCATCAGGATCATGACCATTCTGTCCAAAATAGTGCTAATAATCCCTCTTCATCATCTTTGGGTAGTTTTCAATTCTCATCTCAACAAGTTTGTGCCCTGGTTTACAACCCTAAAAACCCTAGTTCCGATCCCGGTACTATTGCAACATCATCACCGTCCTCAGTTTCTAGGGTTTCAGCTCAGTTACCATGCAAAAAAAATTGTGCTGAACAAACCCTGATCCCACCTTCTTCTTCTTCTGCGTCTTCTCCTCAATCTTCGTCTGTCATGGGCATAAACAGATATTATAACAAAAAATCTGCCGAGAGAGATCATATCAAAGGAGACAAGATTTCGAGAGAGGTGGAATCTAGTTCATGTAGGGAAAAGGGTGATCACCATGTCGCAAATAATGATCGCAATTTATCTGTGAGTTTGAATTTGGTTGTCTGCTGTGCGCATACTTCTGCCTCCGATGACGGCGATGAAGCTATAGTTGGCAGCAAGAGGAGAAGAACGGATGACGTCCCATCATCGATACCCTTCTTCCTAAAATCAGGTTCTGCTGATAAAGTACATCATGTCCAATCAGCTGAAGGGTTTGAAATTAGCTCCAGCTCCATAGAAGACTTAGATCTTGAGCTCAGGCTTGGTGACCAACCTAAGGTAATTAAAGTTAATAAGTAGCAGAGAGACGCATCATCAACTGCTGATCGTATAAACGTATACTTAATTGCTTGACCTTGTGCTGGTCATTTCTGTTTCATGAAATCCTCCTCAATATGCACCTATTTTCGCCTTTCCTCTTTGAGGCCAAGGCCTTGTCTTTGTTTAATTTGATTTGATCTCTTGGAGTGCTGTATGAATTTGTTTAGGTTGTAACAACAACTATATGTGAGTTAAAGGAAAGGAAGAAATTAATTACAATTCGTCTTTGTTGGTAATCACAATGCATCTCAGCTTAATCGGAGTTACAACTTCCTAAGAGTACATTGTATATAATTGTTTGCTCCTTGACAGGATCCATACCAATTAATATGTTCATTAAAAATAGTGAAATTAGGATTCTTATCCCCTTTCAAGTAAAACCATTATCTTCGTGTAGCTTTGTTTGCTCAGTTATTGAAATGAAATTGATACCAGTATATAACTTACTTGTATGTGCGAACAGTTATGCATATAATTAAGATTAGTTTTTTCAAGACATTCCTCATGCCCAGAATGAGAGCTTCAACTCCTTTCTCTACTCTAAATATCAAATGTGACTAGAATTAACTTAACTTGAGCCTGCTCCCACTCTCCATCCAAGTTTGAATTCCTCTACTTGTAATTTAGATGAATTGAATATATGCAGACTTTGGTTTGGTTGAAAAAAAAAAAAAAACTTTGAGGTAAGCTTGTTATAGGCTAACTAAGCAGTTAATTTGATTATAATCATGATATCAACAACATGCTGAGTGCAGACAAGAGTTCAGGTTAGAGAGAGGGAGAGGAGTGGTAGAGTTTTTGTTTGTGGGGCTTGAAGGGTGAAGAAAATGACTAAAAACTGCATGGAATATCGTGACTCATTTTCCCATTCAATACCTCACTGACATTCCGTCAGATAGGGCCATAGAGAACTCAACTTACCCACGCAAAAAATTAACTCAGACTCGAGAGAGAGAGATTTTCAAAGCCACATAAAGTCAGATACTTCCCAACATCGATTTTCTTTTCTCTTGTATTATTATCATCACCCCCGTCAGATCTCTTTTGTTTCAGATTTCTGTATCCTCTCCCCGCTAAAATCCATTTGCTTGTGTTATCTGTCTCACTTTTTTATCTCTCCCCTCGTCTTCTCAAATCTGTCCAAAATTGCCACCAACTCTATGGAATCAATCTAATTAACTATTCATCACCATTACATTATATAGTTAAAACCAACTTTTTTTAATCACAAAAGAGAATATTATTGTCTCACCACCTCTTTTGGATCTGCTTGTGGTATGCATCGTATAGTTTACAAAACCCTAATTGCGGATTTTATATTTTACAAACAACATCAAATTAATTATATAAACCCTAACCCTAGCGAGGTACGCACAGTGCTCAACTTCTTGCAGGACACAAGGGTGATCATTCTGCTGGGTTCTTTAATTTTCTGCTTTTTTCTAACACTAGGACCAGTTTAGGATTGTTGTGTTTAAAAAAAAAAAAAAAAAAAAAACTTCTTATGTGCTTTAAGTGACACGCCTCGATTCCGATATTCCCTGAATACTAGGATAGACACGTGTTGGCCGACACCTGAGGGTGACAAAAGCCATTTATTGAGTGCAAATGCTGAAAACAAGGGTAGATAAGGCTTATAAATATAAAAGAATAATGAATATGCAATTAAGGAATGTGTTCAAAACACACATTTAATCTAGAACACTAAAAGAAATAATATAAAATTGAATGAAACAAAGGAGTGGGTCCTACACCGAGAGGACTCGAAGATGCCGATACGGAAGTGCCTGGACGTCGGGATTGTATGCCTCGATTCTAAGTCTTGAAGGGGGCTTAAAACAAACATAAGTGGACCAAGTTGATATATATATATATATATATATATATAAAATAAAACAGTTATCCACATACTAACACACAGGTTTTATGAAAACACATATATTATGATAAACATAGGTTTTCCGAAACCTAGCATGTCGTGCAATGTCTCAAATCATAAATTGTATATATAATAATCACTAGTGAATGTTCGATAACCCCCAGGCCCCATGCCAGCTCCCCGTTTCTGAGCAGACAATCAGAGGAAAATACACTCCAGGCCCCATGCTTACACCAAATCGTCGCCCGGATGGACTGAAATCTATCCCTACGTTCCGTAGCGGAATAAGGACCACTAGGTAAGTACAAAACCATTGAACATACATATATTGAAAAGCAACTTCGTAGTATAAAGTCGTCCATCATCTATACTATAAAGAGGTGTTCTAAACATGTTCTAAATACCATATCGTCATCCATCAGATATTCTATAAGAACACGGGTTATAAGAAAAATAGTAATAATTCAAATTAGCCTCAGTAAACATGTTATCTCATAAAACGTTTCATAAAACATAGTCATCAAATCATGTTTTTCATGTATGCATTTCTACCATCAAAACATGCATTTTTAGTAGGGGTCCAATCACAATACTTAGCTACCGAAGAGCCACGCAACTTGCGAAGATGGAAACGCCACAATTAATTGCCCCTAAGCACATAAAGGGTACATTTAGTCAAACTCTACTCAAACGATTGAATTTGGGAAAACGGACATCTGAAACGGGTTCAGGACGTCAAAATTAGCCTAGGAAAGGTCCCGCACGAAAACCCAAAAAGTCAACGGTCAAAGTCAGCGTTGACCCCACCACATCCCGGGCTCGACTCTGCCGTAGCACGATATTGTCCGCTTTGGACCCCGACTACGCCCTCAAAGTTTTGTTTCTGGGAACTCACATAAGAACTTCCTAGTGGGTCACCCATTATGGGATTGCTCTCACGCGAACTCCCTTAACTTCGGAGTTTCAATGAACTCCAAAGCCAATGAGCTCCCAAAAGGCTTCGTGCTAGGTAGAGATGGGAATATACATATAAGGGCTTACAAGATCCTTTCTCCTGGGCGATGTGGGATGTTACAATCCACCCTCCTTAGGGGCCTGATGTCCTCGTCGACACACTTCCGACCAAGGATTGGCTCTGATATGAAATTGTTACATCCCGACCCGAACCTCCACCACATCCCTGGCTGGACTCCACCGTAGCACGATATTGTCCGTTTTGGGCCCCGACCACACCTTCACGATTTTGTTTACAAGACTTTCCCAGTGGGTCACCCATGATTGGAGTGTTCTTGCGTGCTACTTGCTTAACTTGGAGTTCCTACGGAACCCGAAGCCAGTAAGCTCCCAAAAGGCCTGGTGCTAGGTAGAGATGAGAATATACATATAAGGCTTACAAGATCCTTTCTCCTGGGTAATGTGGGATGTTACATTAAGAATAATCAAGTTTAAAATAAAGCAGATGAGCATTTGATAAATTATATTTTAAAAGTGTTGTGAGTATGAAAAAACAAGGTAATGTGTTTGGTAAAAATTTAATATAAAAGTGAGATAATTGTATATAATGAAAAAAAAAATAGATATGATAGTTGAGGGAGTGGCGATGACTGCAGTGGTGATGGTGGTGGTGCTAGCAGTGGGGGTGATGCTAGCGACAATGGTAAGGGTATATTGATAGTGCCAGTAATGGTGGTGGTGGAGGTAACAATGGTGGCTATGGCAACGGCTGTTGTGGTGGTATTGTTGGTGATGGTGGCAACAATGGTGGTGGTAATGGTGGTGGTGGTGAAAGGTTAGTGATTGTAGTTGTTGGTGGTCGTGGTCACTTTTGTTCTACAAGGATAAAATTTGTGTAGAAGGTTGAATAATGTCATTTTTAACAAAACTAATGAGGGCATTACAAGAATTGAAAATATTCTTTAGGGGTTCGAGTTAGTTTTTTATGAAAACAACTTTTAAAGGCAATCTATAGGCAGTTTTAATACAATGTTGTTAATAGGCCATTGCTTTTAAAATAAATAAGATATTTTAGTTTTGCCAATATTTTTTATTGCTCAACTCTAAAGCAAAATAACTTTTGGTGAAAAAAAAAAAAAAAAAAACCAATACCAAACAGAATTTGAACTATACCGACTTGACTTGAATGAGTTTCACAGGGAAAAATATGAAAACGTCAATTATTTGGAAGGAATTTAAGTCGCACCCAACAATTATATTCCACAAAAGGATATGAAATGAAGATTGTTTTAATGATTTGAGAAGCTTTCGATGTGGGACTTTGTATTCTACGTTACATGTGAAAACGAAAGGCAGAGTAGAAATTTAAAACAACCAATGCATGGTTGTGTAATGTCCATACAAGGACGGGGCTTGTTAATTTAGGGAAAGTGAGATTGTTTGCTTCGGCTTCTACGAAGTGCTACATCTATGTAAAACGGTTATAATGGTGAATGGTTGGGTTTTGTCTTGATATATTAAGGTATGAGTTGGATAGGTCTGATAGTTTTACAGAGAAGTTTTGATGGGAAGTGGCAGTGGTGCACATGGGGTTTCAGATGTCGTTTTTCTCTTCTCTATTTAAGGGCGGGGGGTGGGGGGGGGGGGGGTGGTATTATATAGAATTGAGTGAGAGAATGACATATTATTCTGGTCAAAGAATTTTGAAGAACAAATTCTGGGGTTATTAGGTAGGTGTGTTGGGACTTGGGAGTAATTGTTTATATATTGTTCGACAACTAAGGGTATATTTGTATGGGAAGGAGTCCCAGCTCTCACGAGCTCGCTAAGTATCCATGCTAGCTATTTGTATATTAAATCACAAAAGAAAACTTAAACACTGGTCTTTGAATTTCGATGCATTTAAGAGTTCACTAAATATTTGTGAGTATTAGTCTCTTTTGGAGTAATATTGTTAGAATTTTTTACTCTTATTTGCCTCTCCAAACAAAAGTTCTGACAATGAAACAAGGATCACTGCTTCCCATTGTTAAACTTAATGGTTTTGGGGCTGACGTTTTAGTTTTAAGAGTGTGGTTTAATCATTGTTTTAAAAATTCTCATCTAGCGTTGCCTAGGTCCCGTCTAGGCGCTAGGCTGCTAGTCACCGCCCCGATTAATACTTAAGCGTTAGAAAATTAAAAAAGGGGGCCTAGACTTGCTGAGGAACCTGCCTAGCCTATTTAGATTCGCCTACTTTGTGACTCACTTAGACAGAAAATAGATAACTTTCATTTTGCGTTTTTTTTTTCAATAAATTGTAAGAGACTTGTTGAATACTTAAATGAACACACATTATGTGCTTGTTCTCCATGTTTTCATTATGTTCCAATACTTCATAATACATATGTCATTCTATTTTGTAGTTTATGATGAAATTATATATATAGTTACGTATAAACACACTTATTTACATGAAATATAATAAATTTATTTAAATTCGCCTAATCCGCCTAGGCGCTAGGCTCCAACCAACCACCCAACTAGCGCCTATAGTCTTTTAGAACCTTGGGTTTAATATAAGGGAAAAAAAAAGAAAAGAATGTAGGTGTCTAATTCTCATTGGTTAGTCCACATTTCACTGCTGAGGTGAGGTTCCGGAACCTGAAAATTTTCTCCTAGAGTGCTTGGCGAAATTTAGGCCTTGGTGCCTATAGATGGGGGCTTTTGTCATTCAGTGTGCGGGTATGCTTACAAATTAGGGTTGACGTTGTAATATGCTCACATCATCAGGGGTATTTTTGTCACATTGAGCTCATAATTTACATGGCACAATTTAATTTGTGTAGTTAATTTACGTCTCCACATTTGAGTTGAGGTTGATTTCTATGCGTGGGAATTAAGCACCTTGACTTGAATCTTATAACGATATTGCTGGTGCGAAATGGATGAATATGGATTCTATACATTGATGGTTGGATTCTTTAGTTTGTTGTGCACTGAATCCATGAGTATATTGTATTATTACAAATTAATTCATAATTAATATCTATAATTTGTAGAATCTATATGGGCCTGAATATGTACATACAAAGCTTAAGGTATGCTAGCCGATACAAGATTAATACACACCACGATCCAAGGCCCAAAATCCTCCTTAGCTGAAAACATTTATCAAGTTGAAAACTTCCATTTTTAAGAGAAATTATTATTGTTAAGGAAAAGGGGAAGGATTCTAGGATTTGAAACTATTACATAAACTTAGAGAAGAGAAATTTTTGAACTTGAGACGCATAGATAGAAACTTAACACTTTACCCACTAAAAAAAATTTAACTTCCAACCCAAGTAAATTAACATATGGCATCCTTTTAGTAGCTATCTAATATCACAACTAGGAGCGGAGCCACTTGAGGACTAGGAGAGGTTTGGGCCTACCCTGAAGTTTTTCATTTTGTAGCTTCTGTTTGTGTGCTTTTGGTTGAATACTCTGCATTATTCGACTTATGTGCTTTTACTCCCAGCTAGCTTTATTGTGTTTCTAATTGACAAAAAAAATATTGTGTTTAACAGTTGAGTTATAGTGTTATGAAACTAAAGCCTTATATCAGTTAGCCTCCCTTAATTAGTTCACTATTTTGGATGATAGAGTGTTGTTTTATAGTGA